TCACCACCACTATCGTAACTTGTAACAAGAAAGAGAAGGGATTAAAGACCAAATCGGAACTCACGAAGCCAGAAATCACGAAAGGGGTAGAAGACAACTTAGCTTGCTATTCGTTTCGTTTGTGGGTTGTGTTGGGGTCGATTGGTGGTGGAGGTAAGATTTCTGGTTGGGCCGCTGCCAGTGCCTAAGAGCGCTAGGGTTTCAGAAGGAAGATAAAGGGGTGTTTACTGGGAGAGAATGGAGGATATGGTTTCTGTGACAAACGAAAATGAAAATGTAAACGAATGATAAAAGAAAAAACAGTGTTATATGGTGTTATAATCTTGTGTCCGCGCGCCCGCAATAGCAATCACGTTCCCTCACTTGTCAGCCATGTGATTTCAATCCGGCGGCCATAAGGCCAAGCCACACTATAACTCCCATACGCCTCACTACACACAATCAGCCTGCATCCTTCAACATCCATGTTGGGCCTAGCCCACGCGCTTTTCACACCCCTCTTCCAACGGTTTACTAACTTGCCAAATAACGTACACCCCCTATCCAGAATCATTTGGGCCTAAACACAGATTGCTAAACAACACCCCCTTATTTTGATGCATAACTGAAAACGTACCCCCCAGGTTAAATCAATTATTTCTTTTGTTATTTTAAATACATTATATTTTATCTATTTTTAATCCTTATACTTATAATATTTTTTATAATAAATATTATTTATATTTGCAATTATTATTATTATTATTATTATTATTATTATTAATTTTTATATTAATTATTATTATTAATTATTATTTTCATATTTTTCTATTATTATTGTTATTTTTATATTATTATTTATTTTATGTAAATATTGTTATATAAGCGTATAAAAATATTTTATTCAAAACTCATGTACATATTATTTTCACGTATATTACATTAAATCTTTTTATCATGCATTAATCAAAAAAAAATTTAATTAATATTATTAAAAAATACAAACCAATCTCAAACTATTTTCGCGAATAAAATTAAGCTAATCAACAGTCTTTTTTGCAAATGGGTTTCAGACTAATTTTGACTTACTGCGTACTCAATCAAAATATCCGCAATCACTACTCCCGACCGAGTGCGAAGTGATTCAAAATATACTTGCAAACCCCTAAAAAACACCAACCTCATACGAACTACAAATTGAGAATCTGATTCCTCTTAAGAGGATACGTAGGCATACGATCAAAAATCTTAGCGAGTCCTCCTATTAAAAATTTAAACCCTTTCTTTCTAATTAAAACTTAAAATCCAATTTACCCCAAACCTAAACCTAGAGCTTAGTATCCTTATGAACAAGGTAGATGAAAGGTGCCTAACACCTTGCTTTCGTCTAATTGAGTCCGAAACTTAGAATCTCTATCTGCAAATTAGAGTTTTCTGTTAGATTCTCTTCCCTAGGATAAAAACTAATAGTGGCGACTCTTGATTAAAAAAATAGTTGCTACAGTGCTACAATGTACAACTTCTAGTACTCCATTATGAACTTGATTCCTCATAAAATGATATTTTGTGTCAATGTGCTTTCTCATTCTATGCAGCAATGGATTCTTGACAAGGCTTATAGCTGATTTATTGTCAATCATCAATCTCATAGGCTTTCTCACCTTAATCTTTAGATCCTGCAATAGGTTCATAGCCAGACAAAGCACCTGCAATGTACTCAGCTTCACATGTTAACAATGCAACCACTGGTTGCTTCTTGGAGCACCGAGAAATGGGACCTCCCAGATACTTGAAAAAATATCCAAAAGTACTTCTTATGTCAACTCTGTCTCCACACTAATCAGAGTCTGAATAACATATCAACTCTTAGTCAGATTTAACACTAGAAGGGAACAACACTCCATACCTCAGAGTCCCTTTAATATACCCCAGTATCCTGACTGCATCTTGGTAATGTGACCACTTTAGCTTGTTCATAAACCTACTCATTATTTTAAATGCATAGCAAATGCCAGGTCTTGTGTTATAAAGATATCTCAATGAGACAACTAACTATTTAAAAATTTTAGCCTCTACATCATCACCCAAAGCATCAGAATCCAACTTGTGATTCGTCTCATCAAGTGTGATTGCAGTCTTGCAATTTGTTAGCTCAAATATCTTCAGAAGCTCAAGTTTATACTTCAGCTCGTGCAAAATGATACGCTTTTAAGAATACATAATCTTCATCACTAGAAAATATACCATATTTCTTATGCCAGTCATCTCAAACTCATTCATCATCACCTTCTTGAACTTGACTATCTCATCTGAACAACTCCCTGTTAGCAAGATGTCATCAACATAGAGATACACCATAATCATATTGCTTTCAGAGGTATGTTGAACATAAACCCCATATTCTATCTCACATTTCCTGAATCCTTGAAGCTTGAAAATGAATCAATTTTCAGATTCCAAACACTAGGAGCTTGTTTCAGTCCATACAAAGCTTTATGCAACCTATACACCATTCCTTTCCGATTCTTTTCACAAATCCAGGAGGTTGTGACACATAAATTTCCTCTTATAAAGGACCATCCAAAAATGTAGATTTTACATCTAAATGCATTAGAGACCAATTTCTATTAGAAGCTATAGCAATCACCAATCTGATTGTTTCATGTTTAGCTACAAGAGAAAACACCTCAAATTAATATAATCAATATTTCTGAATAAATCCTATAGCTACTAACCTTGCTTTATGTTTGCTAATCGATCCATTTTGCTTCAGCTTTATATTGAAAACCCATATGACACTGATGACTTTCTTCTCCTTTAGAAGCTCAGACAACTCTCAAGTATTTTTTCTTTCTATAGCCTCAAGTTCTTCTTTCATGGCCTTCAACCACACTTTCTTCTTGAGATCTTCTTTAGTACTAAATGGTTTGGAGTCTACTAACATGGAACACTAAATAACTTTTCCTTCAGAGTCAATCTTAGTATCTTGCAATGTGTCAAACTCTACAAATCTTCTTAGTATTTGTTTGATTCTTTGTGGCCTCTCAACTTGTTCATAATCTTCTTCAGATGCTGGAACAGAATTAGATGCTAGACTACCTTCATAGGCTGGACCACCTTCAGAGGTTGGATTACCATAAAAGTCTGGATCATCATCAAAATATGGATCAGAATCATATTCACCTTCAAAGTCAGACTCATCTTTAGAGTCTCCTTCAGCTTCAAAGTCAAGCAAAGTCCTATTTTTTCCAGCAAGACCATTGTGCTGAGGAGTATACGGAGCAATAACATCATGCTCAATTCCATTTTCCTCACACAACATGATATTTCTTCCTCATATCTCTTTGCGCGTTTCTCTGTTCCTCCATCGTATCTTCTACAACCGGAACGTAACAGTCGGTGACGAGATCAAAAACAACTTGAGCACTAAACAACATACACATTTGAATCATCCACCGATTCCAATTTTTTACATCAAACACTGAAAGCTTTGTATTCAAGTTGTTTTTGTCATTCATCTTTGTTCTTGTGCACTAAAACTTACTCAGATCTCACCAAACACTCATATTTTTCAATCCCTCAAAATTAAGAAACGCAATTCTGTTACGATTTTGATAATGAATTCAAGAATCAAAATCAATCACACACGTCTCACGTGCACTCATGTTTACCTATGAATCAAACTAAAGCTCTAGATATCAATTGTTGGTGCACAAGATTGAAGATGGTGACAAAGATGGGAGAAGAGAAAGAAGAGAGGGAAAACAATTATAACAAATTTTTATTAAAAAAACTTATTTGTTGCATTATTAAGAAAACTAGTTTCAAAGTTGTTTAAATGCAGAAACTTCAAATGCCACGTAAGCAAAACTAAATATGCTAATAAAACTCAGTAGTTGAGTTAAGGTTCTGAATATGCAACTTCTCAATTACACTAAGCAAGGTTCTGAAACATGTAATTTCTGAATAACACAACTTTTGAAATAACAACTTCTAAACATGAATTACTTCTAACACCATTAAACCCAATTATACAATCCTACTTTGTTTTGGGTCTAAAGTCATGACGATCACCATAAACTCTAATAAAATCCAAAAAGATTCTCATGTTCGTCCGTTTATATTCGTTTGTTTTCAACTTAGCAATTTTTAACTAACCCTTTCTTTGCTTATCTATTGATTTCAAATGACATTTTATTTATATTTAGTTTTATTTATATTTAGGTGTAAATAATAGTTAACCAAAAAAAAAAAACTGTATTAATAAAACTGTATTTGTTTTTTTTTTTCAAATAATTTAGGTGTAAAAAAAAACTATAAGTATTAATGAGTTAACTACACTTCAGTTACTTTATAAATATTAATAAAACTGTATTTGTTTTTTTTTTTCAAATAATTTAGTACTAGTTGAAATTTCAACTTAAGATAAAACAAGTGGAATGTCCTTGCATATCTATCAAATGATTTGTCTTCTTCAAGAAAAATCAATGAAACATTCTAAGTGATTAATTAATCTTAGTTAATAAATGGCTCTTTAATATTATCCAATAATTATAAAAAAAATAAAGAAAAATTGTATACATTATATTATCTCTACGAGAAGGAATATCTTGTGTCAAAATTTGTGTTTACTTAAACTCTTAAAACTTCATATAATCCTAATCCGTGTTGTAGAGTTCAACTCTTAATTGCTTCTTAAAAGCTACTCTCTCCATGATTCACGTTTAAGAAAAAGCCATTACTAAAATGAAATTGCAAAATAATAATCTTAAATTATTAAGTTAAGTACCGTAATATATATAAATGTGAAACCAAACTTTTCAACACAGAATCAAACATAACAACAATATTTATTCACATTCCACATTACAGATACACACACTAACACGCGCAATAGTACATTAAATATATAATCCAATCTACCAAAGTTAATTAATAATTAATTAGTAATTAATTAATAATATTACAAAAATAAACTTTTAAAAAAAACAATCAACTCTCAAAAAAAAATAATTAATTAATTAAGAATGAGATTGAGAAGAAGGAGAATGCAAAGGAAAAAGAGGTAATAGTTGAGGTGGTTGTTGAGAGGATCTAGGAGAGGGGTGCAAATAGAAACCTTTTTCAGCTATGACTTTTTCTTCTTCTTCATCATCTTCTTCATATGGTGATTTTGGATTATTTCCACGTGATAAATAATATTCTAATGGAGAAACAGGTGAAGCCATAACAACACTTCGAACGTTGTTGTTGTTGTTAATGTTGTTGTTATTGTTGTTGTGGTTCATCAACATCATCATGATGTTGTTGTTTTGGAACATCGTGGGAGTTTCGGAAACGGTTAGTTGGAGTTTTTTGGAGCGGCGTTCGTGGAGTTTGAAGTTGGGTTTTTTTGGTTGTTCGGAGGTGGCGGTGGGTGGTGGTGGACGGTGGGGTTGGGTGGTTGTTGATGTTAGACGAGATGGGAGTGTGAGTGGGAGTTTTTGGGCGGATGGGTCTTGGGATGCTCCGGTTAGTTTTTGGACGACTGATCGGAAGTTTGATGGGTCGGCTTGCACGAAGGTTGTGTTTGGTTGGGCTGTCGGGTCGGATCCGTACGTTGGTGAATGCATGGTTGGGGAGAGAGAGAGAGAGAGAGAGAGAGAGAGAGAGAGAGAGAGAGTGGGAGAGATTTGTTTGAGGAATGAAGATGTGTGTTTGGTTTGCTTTATGATAATGAGGAGTGGCGTGTGATGAAAGAGTGATATATAAGTAGAAAAAAAATGAAAAGTGAAAGTGAAAACTTTTACTACCTTTCTCAATTTAGTAACATAGCACTCAATTTTATTATATTTGTATAAATAATTTAATCATGTCAAAGGGGTATGTATGTATCATCTTTTTCTTTCTAAAATGGACACTTAAAACTTGAATTTCAATGGGAATACGGATACCAAATCAATGCACGCCTTCTTTAGGATTACTTTGCAAAAGTCTTAAACGGGTGTTTGTTTCAGGGTCTAATATTTTGGTGTTTCCAAAAAAAATTGAAAGTGAAGCGGATCTGGAAGCACTGCATCTCTTATGTTTAAAACTTACAAAAATTTCTAGCATCCATAAAATGAACAAACATATTAAAAAATACTAATCTAAAACCTTATTTCATCTGCAAAACATGCGGGCAAAAATACATGTATGGCAATCAGATCTGTTTTGCCAGTCATAAATTTAAATATCTAAAAAGTTTTTCAATAGAAAATTTATCGTTAAATTTATCGTAATTAGTCGGAAAAAACTAACACAATATATTATGAAGAGTTAAAAGATTAATTTAAAAAAAATTAAGAGATCAAAATAAAATTTCAAAATTAATTTAGAAGACTAAATATTTATTAAAGTTTTTTCTTTAATCTAATATTATATAGGTTTTATTTGGTAAAAATAACTATTGAGTTATAAATTAGTTGATAATTTATAGATTATAATTAATGATTAATAGTTTATAATTGATGACTGATGACTAATCATTTATAACTGATAAGTTAATTGAAATATTTGATAAAATTAACAGTTTAATTAATTGATAAATTAAAATTACATAAAACATATTTAATATGTAATTGTTTTATTTTAAATTAAAATAAATTATAAAAGATATCAATAAATTTTAAATAAAATAATAAGATAAAAATGAAAGAAAAATAATAAATAATAAATTATAAATTAAAATACTATTTAAAATAACATTTAAAAAATAAACTATAAATTAATTAAATAAGTTATAATTTCATAATATAAAAAATTACCAAATAAATATTTTATCATCATATCAGTTTATAAACTATAAAGTATAAACTCAAAAAATTGTATGGTCAAACAGAGCTATAATGTGTCAAATTATAATGTGTTGTATAGAAGATGTAGTTACCACTTAAGCACTCCTTAGTGTTTGACTTTGGAAGTTGCAAACACAACCAACACAACAGATACTATTATTCGGTAATAAAAAATGTAAGATGGAGACTTTGGGTAAACAAAAGATATTTTTCTCTTGAAGCTTTTCAAAAGAAAAATTAAATATGGTAACTTTTTTTGTGAGTGGAACTTGATATCTTTTCTTTTTCTTTGCAAGTAAAAATTCACTATCATGTTTTAGGATAAGCTTTTTAATGTGAGTATTACTCAAGTTTGATGCAAAAGTCGCACAAAAGTTTCTTGATTGAAATTTTGTTAATTACACAATTGCAATATCTTGGTTCTAATGACTAGTATAGCTATTAAATCATATGTTTAGAGTTCAAATCTTGATAATGAGAGTATAGCTTTTTAGAAAGGAATTATGTCTCATTTCATATTTTATATTTTCTGCTCTTAACTTTTTAATTATAGTATTTGCATGAATGTTATATTTTTTATTTATTTGTGATTTTTAAATTTTAACATAATAGGTCAATAATATCTGTAGTTATTTATGTTAAAAAATAAAATAAAATAATAAACACTTAAATATACTATGGAAAAAATTAATATGTAAAAATATAAAATAATAACTTTTATTGATTGTCATAATATACATATATAATATTGAAGATAAACGATTCAAAGAAACTAATAATGTATACATTCAAAAGAATCACCAATAATTTTTTTTATATTAAATGGTACTACATAAATTTTTTTATATAAAAGACAACTCATTTTTTAATTCATTGAATAACTATTATATTTAATTGATTTATAAACTAGATACATTAATTATATAATATATTTAAAAAATAAATTATCTCTTATAAAAAAAAATAGAGATAGTACTAAATATGCATACATTATGATAAATTTATATTTATTGAAATAAAAATATTTTAGAGTGGGTCAAGATTCAATTTATCAAAAACTAGGTTTTTTTTTTATCTAGGTCATTTGTTTAGGAAATAAGACAAACCAAGAGATAGATAGGATTTAAAAATATAATGAATTGAATGTCCTAAAAAAGATTTTACGATATCTAAATCCTAAATTCATATTAAAAAATTTAATAAGTAATTTAGATTAAAGATGTTATTTTAAATTTCACATTCACAATCTTTAACGATTTAATCGTCTAAAATAATTATAAATATAAAATATATAATTCAAATATGAGAGATCTATTATTATTGTCTCGTGTCGCACTTACATGCTTGTCTAGATTTAAGATTAATTATCATCGTCTCATTTCACATTTACATTATTCTTTAAATTTGATCGGATCCCATAAAAATTCGAGTGGATTGTAGTAAGTAAAAAGAGTAAATAAAGTATGGTCTAAAATCTAATTAATCTTACTTATGGCAATGCACATGCAAGGCAATTCTAATTTGGCTCCATCTTTGGTTGAAAGCATAATTGGTAATAATGAAAATAATAGCAACTTTCAACAATGGTTTTTACTATAGAAGTACTTGAATGAGGTGAATGTAATGAATAAAGGAAATTAGTGTAAAAGCAACTCAACGGTTGTCCAATTTGAAATTGAAAAAAGGAGCAATAAATAATACAAAGTGGCATTGAATATTCAGTCTTGCAGAGTCAGAAGGGCATTTGAAAAACAACAAAACAATAGAACAGAACAGAACAGAACAGGTTTCTCTAGTACAAGAGAGAATCATCAATACATACATAGAAAGAGAAACTTGTGAATATTTTAGACACAGGCACCGTTTGAGTTTTTGGTCATATTGGTCTTTCGACGTTAACAATTCTATTCTATTTCATTAATTCTTATGTCACGTTATCACATCAACATTAATTCTATTATTTTCATCAAATATTCAAATTAAACAAAATCATTATATAAAATTCCAACCATGTCGTGTGATTATGTCTTTCTTTTATTCTCTTAATCCAATTCCAATTATTTTTTTATTCTTGTGTGCAAATCTAGTGGCATGGGTGGGATGGGTAAATTTTCTCTTTCTTTCATTCATATTTTTCCCTTAGCTTGCGTGAGGAATTGCACTTTGACATTAAGGACAAAAGTTGTCTCAATTGATTCCTTAATTTTGGCTTTATTCATTTTAGTTTTCTTTGCTTTACTCTTTCTTCTTTTCTTCTTTTCAAATTGCTTTGCTTGGATGGTTTTGATTATTCTTTTTGTGACCTCTTTTTGACAAATTTAGTTTCTTTCTTGCTTTTATAGGAGTCTTCTTACACTTTCAACTCGTTTACTATTAGGAACAATTCTTCTTTTGGATGCTTATATGTCTTAAGTTAACTACTTGACTTACATTAGACATATAGATACATGATAGTTATGCATGAAATAGTTACATATTTTAGAATTACTTTTAGAGTATTATTAAAGTAGTTAGATATTCTAGAATTACTTTTAAAGTATTACTAGCAAGTATCTAAGGAGACAAGTTAAAAAAACAAAAGATTGTTGTTTTATTTTATAATGAGTTGAAAATTTAAAAATAAAAAAAAATCAACATACAACTTTTAAAATAGAATTTACATTTTTTTTCTCTAACAAATTTTTTTATTGATCTAGTAGCTAGCAAAACATTCTTAAATAAATATTTTATAGTATAAATATTTTTGTATACTCTTACTGCTAGGCATACGAAGAAGAATTTTTGTTTTGGTTCTCCTGATTTGGTCTATTCATAGTTTTAGTTCTCATATTTTCTTTTTAAACACTTTTAATCTTCATCCCCACTTTGATTTCAGAAAATGTTTATGTGTCATTTTTTTTAATACGTGATATTTTATTTTTGTTTTATTTTTTCAAGTTATTTTTATAATTAAAATTAATTGTCGAATGATTTTGATATTATAAAATATTGATTTATTTAAACGAGAATTCCATCTTCTTCATCGTGTTATCGTTTTAGGGTTCACTACAACTTTTTTTTAGGGTTTCACTGCAACTTCTTCTTGTTTCGCCATCCCCACGGTCATTTCCGTTCCACTGCAACTCCTTGCTTCCTAACTCGTTTTATGGCATCTGAATCATTTAGCATCTCAAGCAACCTCCCTCATCTTAGAAGAAGAATGATTCAATATTATTGTGGGTTGGACTCACCACTTGTCACTGCCTGGACATCTCAGAATCCAGGTCGAAGGTTCTATGATTGTGGTTTATATAAGGTATTGCAAAATCCCTAATTTTTTATGTTTGTATAAATGTTCTCATCTTCTCAATCATATATCTATGGTTGTGGGTTACTCAGTTACAAGGAAGGAAAGGATGTGCATTTTTTGAGTGGTTTGATGAGCAATTGAGAGAACGTTCAAATGAGGTCATTAATTCATTATTGAAAAAAGTTAATGATTTGAAGAAGAATGATCTTTTGGTGAAGAAGACAAATGACAAGTTGAAAAAGAAAGTCAAGTTTTTAGTTACATTTTTGGTTTTGTCTTGGGTTCTGATTTTCTCGTTGATCATAAAAATTATGGTTGGATAATGTAATGTTAATATAATGTTAGTGTAATGTTAATATAATATTAGTGTGATGTTAAGTCTAACGTATGTTGACAATGAAAGTTTCTGAGATTGTACTGTGATGACCTGATAATGTTAATGGAATGAGTTTGTTCAGTTTGTTTAGTTTCATTGTTTATACAAACTGTTATTAAGTTTCAGAGATTT